TGACCTTTTGGTGAGTCGTTCGCCACTGTGACGAAAAGAAGTGTTGGCACCAGAGCTGAGGCTTCAGCCTGTGAGCAGAACACACACTAGCTCTCCAATTGATGCTGAGTGGGAAGGTAAGCCGAACCAGTGCGACTGTTGTTGACCTTTTGGTGAGTCGTTCGCCACTGTGACGAAAAGAAGTGTTGGCACCAGAGCTGAGGGTTGAGCCTGTAAGCAGAACGCACACTACCTCTGCAATCGATGCCTAGCCAGTGAGCTTCGGATAGATAGCTTGTCGGTACTGAGTCCTTGCGGTCCACGCAAGTTTCCGGTGCAACGTCTTGTTGGACGGAACTACTTTTTTTGGCAGAGAAGGTCCGACACAGTTTTGCAGCATGCTTTGACAGCCAAGGCTGGGCGACAAGCTATACCAGCATGATGAAAAAGCTGCGCAGGCAGCCAGCGGCACAGGTTTCAGAACCTGCGTCTCGTAGCCAAGCATTGAACCGGGAAGTTCGTCTGCAGCGGAAGTGGTCACAGTTGGAAGTCGGCGTCGGACATGCTGGCGGCCAATTTAGGGTTTGTCATACAAGGGGCTCAGGAGTCGCGAGCAGAAGCTGTGCGAAGTCAGAATCTGCAGAGCTAAGTTTAAACAGATTCGGCTCGTAACTCGATAACAAACCGTAGCTTGATGCCTGATAACTGTTGGCCTCTCTGCCCGTCTGTCATTTTGACTTATCTGGGAGGTCCATTGCGAAAGAGCCCAAGATATGGAAGGACGGCTTCAGGAGCCGTGATCTCTCCTTCGCTCCCTCGTTGCAGCAGCATTAAGCGCTTCTCTTGCGAGCCTTTGCTTGAAGGTGAGGACGTCTATGACGTTGTTGCTTTGTGAAGTTTGGCTGTGCACTGCGATCTTCCGAAGACCTGTCATTACGAAGTCCGTATACGCCACAAAACTGGCCCCCGGCCAGGACCACGTTGATCCAAATGGGGAGAGGTGGCCAAGATGCGAGTCAAAAGCGCTCAGCTCAGCCCATCCTTTTTTTCACTGTGTCTAGCCCTGTGATGGCTGTTGCTTAGACGGACCGAAATGCTTTAATTGATGGTACTTGTAGCCCAGGTGGGTCCGAAAGTTTCAGGACACGATGCGAGAGATGGGAGAGGCAGAGAAGGATGAGGCGCGAGAGATGCAGGCCTAGAAGTGGCTTTCCTCTCGGGGGCAATGCTCGTGTCAGGTGGCAGATTGGGTCGAGCACTTCAAGACGCTTCAGAAGAAGACTGGCCAGGACAGTGATGAGATGTGCCGCGGCTTGGGGAGATGATGGTTACTGGTTGCTTCTTTGGTATGTCCAGAGCCCGTGTGATGCTGGCTTGGTTTTAGCGTGCTTGTTTTGCAACGCGTTGCCTGCGGGACAAGAAGGCTGTACATGTCCCATGAATTTCCGTGTAGACTTCGTGCGAAGGTAAAGTTTAGTTTGTGTGTTTGGAGGAGACGAAGTGGCGGAAGCTGACGAAGGCGCAAGCGAGCGGTAGTTCGAAACATTGTTGTGCCAAGACAATCAAAACACGTGGAAGCGAAGGGATGCTCTGCCCCTCGCGGCTTCTTTCTGCCTCCGGCCCTGTTTCCCGTTGCAGAGGCTTCTCGGGAATTGGCCGTCTCAAGTGCGAAGACACAGAACCAGGTGATGCAGATCATTGAAAGATGTCGGAAGGCCAGGCACCCTTTGTGTTTTTTGTGTTTCTGCCTCCATGTTGTCGGCGTGCTTGTGCCGAGGCAGAGCTCAAGCGCCTAAAGTGGCAAGCCGGGATCGCAGACTCGTAGACCGTCGCAGACGCCGTGGAACTCAAATTGTGTGTGCAGGCAACAGGTAGCATTGTAAGAATCTGGACTGCAGGCTTGGAATCACAAGCAGTGCCATCCTCAGCAAACACACCAGGCTGGCAGGCAATGTCTGAGCTCTCCGCCATAGCTTGCGGCAGGTGGGTTAGAAAGTTTCGGCAAGCAGAAGACAAGGCTTTCCAAATGCAGAAGGCCCGGGTAGACGGCGCTCGTGGTACAAAGCTCAAGCACGAACATGCCGTGCTGCAGTGTGCTTCTGGTGGCAGGGCCCTGGGGTGAGTTGGGTCCACTTGTCCACAGCTCTCACCCAGCATACTACCGTCGGATTTCAAGGTCATTCTTGGGCTTGAGGTGATCTGCTATTTCTGGACAGGGCCGACTCGCTATCGAGAAAATGGTGTATCGTGGACGTCAAGTCTAGATGGTTTCGATGAACTCAGAAAGACTATGTGCTCTTCCGCATCAATCTCAAGCTGAGCCACTCTGCAGGAGGAGGAGCTGAGACTCACAGAAGAGTTCTGGCAGGAGCTCGTGCAAGCTTGTTTCGCCGAAAGAGGTTTGGGCACTTTCGCTATCAGGCTGTAAAGGACTCGAGCACTCATGCAGCGCCTCGGCAGCATGGTGCATTTCTCCTGCAGCATGGCAGATGTCCTGCTTTGCTACATTGCCGTCAATAACGGGAGGCCAAATCCTGACTGCTTCGCCTCATCGTCGAATTCTGTGGCGCTGCGGCTCACACACAACCTGGAACTGACCGGCACGAAGACCAGGACAAGGGTAGACATGGTTAGGATCGGGGTCGCCTGCAGCGCTCAGCCCTGGCCTGTCAGGAGGCCATGCTGCGCCTTCGCCTGAGTCCCTGCTCAACATGACCTCCGCATCGAGATGCAGCGCTCCATGTGTGGGCTTGCAGTCCACGGTTGCTGGCCGTCTGAACAGGGATGCAGAGCCCTGAAGAAGTGTTTTCAGCAGGGCGACGATTTAGGAGTCGGTCCCCACTGTGTGGCAGTCTGGCACGCGAGACGAGAAAAACTTCATCTGCTATTCACGGAGCATCGCTGAGCTCTGTTCAGTATCGTGCTTTTGTTAGAGCCTTGCGCTTGCCTGTGGATGCCCCATGCTGTCGCAGTAATCACTACGAAACCGCGTGCCGCTGGATACACACGGCCTGGGGCCAGTTCAACCACTCCAGATCAGCAAGCATTGCAACATGGGGTTGGCGATTGGCCTGCTTGCGGCTGAGGGGCCTGGCTCCTCCCTGCGATTCAAGTTCTTCTATCACAGCATCCTGTGGGAAGGCGACGAGGCACCACAAGACAAAACACAAGTGCAGTGCACAAACAGTTGGAAGCAGAACAGGTCGACGAGCTCTCCTCTACGGCAGGAGTCTGGATTCCTGTGCAAGTGAGGCGTTCTTGAAGACAGCAGACATGCTGCCACCCGACAATCCCGCCTGACAGTCGGGACTATCTGCTGCGCGAGCCCGACTCTTCGCTGGAGGCCGATTTGCGGTGGTGCTCCTCCACGAACCTGCAGCTTGCGAGATCAAGGAGCCGCTTTGGGTCCAGTACGCGCACAAGGCTTCGGTTCGCGGGCGGGGGGAAAACCGGGAAAGGTCTCACGTCTGATCCTTCCACCTGGTGCAGGCAGGCGGCGAGCTGGCCGAGCTTGCCAAAGAGCAGGGTGCCGAGTTGAGCCGATCCGCCATTGGCCGCAGGCGTCCCTCGATGCATTTGAGGTTCGGTCTCTTGCCGTGACGAGACCTTGAAGCGAGCTAGGGAAAAACGGTGACCTCGCCTCCTCAACTGACTGACGAGCTGGATGAGAGATTGCATGTCTCCTGGCCTGAAGATTGGCAGCCGGGCGAGTCGGGCTTGTCTGTCGCTGCCTTGCTCAAGCGATAGAAAACTACATGAGCGACGGACCCTGCGTCTGGGGGTTTGATCGCCATGGCACTCCTCGCTGAGGTTCTGAGCTGAGCAGGAAGTCTGTGTTTAGAAGTTCGAGCAAACAGCCTGAATCTGGGCAGCTTTCCATATTTACCAGTTGTGTACTCCCGTCCGTATGGGACTCAGGCCTTTGCTCTCGGCGGGGTGCAGCACGGAGCCCTGCCTAGGCAAGGCTGCGTCTCCAGCTTTCTCTGAGAGCTTGTGACAAGCTCGGTCCTGCAGACCTTTTACCCAGATTGTACCCTTACAAACTTACAATAGTATGGGGCACCTGCAGGGTGCGAGACTGAGCAAGTATGTGTTCGGAATTGCAGAGAGCTTGACAGCTGCTGCTAATTTGCGGTCACTGACCTGAGTAGCGATGTTTATTCAGTCTTAGTTCTTTTAGGCTTCCGCTTCGCGTCAACGTACTGCCTTTTCACTTGCCTTGGAAGATCTACGGCAATTGCCGGTGCGGGTTCTGTGATTTCGTGGTGCCTTGGGCTCTGGGGGGCTGTCGGCCTTCGGTTCAGGTGCTTTTGTTTTTTGGTTGTGTTGCAGTTGGGACGAGACTGAAATCTACAATGCAGGCTTGCCTCAAAACCCGGGCAAGCGGCGCATGAGCTTCCAGAACGAGGCCAGAACGATCGAAAGATCCATAGCCATAGTTATGCTGTGTTATACCGGGAACAACTTGGCAATGGTAGTTCAAGCCCCGACAGGATAGTCTTGACAGTCGTGGGTGGGGATGGGCATTTAGCAACATCGTTGAAGAATGATGTCTTGTTGAGCTGAAGTTCTCCATTTTCGCAATCCAATGGCGAAGCCTCTCCTTGCGTCAGTCCGTGATAGTCCGTGTTTTCGAGCCGTGCTATACATGTGCAAGGACTATCTCTGAGGGACAGGGCGAGCATACACTTGCTTGCGGTTCGACACATCCGACAACTCGACAATAGCAAAGTCGAGGTTCGCCGACGACGCTTGCAGCGGTTGCCACAGCTGTGGCAGCGGGCGTCGTGGCAAAAAGGTGCCATGGCATGGCTACAACATGAGAGTCAAGACTGGTCGGGGTGAAGCTTGAGGGTCCCATTTTACTCAAACATCAGTCGCCCTCCTTGGTGTGCACCTTGTCTGCTTAGCTCCCAATTGAATGACGCAGAATTTTCGTGATGTCTGACCCTGACAAGTAGCACACCTGTGAAGATCAGTCTGTCTCATCTTTTCTTTACTATTACCTGAGCCCATCTGCTTTGATCGCAATGCAGTGCGACGAAACACCCGAAGCAAGCGAGACCATCAATCATGCAATGGCTTTCCTGCGTCGGTTTCCTAAAGTGGTCATATAGGGGCCTGAATAAGAACAGTGTTTTGAGACGCATTGTACAAACACTACCTTTAATAAGCACTATGAGGGGATGCTAGTACTAACTTTGGGAAGCGCAGGACTTGAGTTGAGCGGTCTGTAACTTGTCCACGCTTCCGAGACGGTCAGCGAAGACGCGGGCGGCAGTGGCCATGAGGGCCCGATCCTCATGGGTTGAACCAATCTTTTGTTCAATGTATCAACCAATCAATCAATCAATCTGTCTATCTATCTATCTATCTATCTATCTGACTATTTAACTAACTATCTATCTATCTGTCTATCTATCTATCTATCTGTCTATCTATCTATCTATCTATCTATCTATCTATCTGACTATCTAACTATCTATCCATCTACCTATCTATCTATCTGTCTATCTGTCTATCTATTGTGTCTAACTGTCCATCTATCCATCTATCTGAATCTATCTATCAATCTATCTATCTACCCCATCTATCTATCTACCCATCCATCCACAGATGCAAACGCAGGACATCTGGGTTTTATCGATCGTGCTGATAAGGGATTGGCTGCCATCATGTTTGTTTTGGATGCACGGTCATTGGCCTACGTTGCATGACTTTGATCACGCCAACGCGGTAGAGCGTCCTCCGATATCTTGATTGCCAGAACTGTACCTGCACCAACATGATCAGCATTTCCTTCACATGTCGCTTGTAGCTTCACTTGGCACGGTTTTTCTCAATGCTTTCTCTGTGAAGTTGTTGCTGCCAAGGGCGAAGAGGAAAGCGCTCCACTCCGAGAGAAGATGGAGAAGGCGATGTGGACGTCAGGGTGGTGGGTGCTGTCTCGCATCTTGTTGGCTCTCGTGTCATGTCAGGTCCAGGCCGGAGACCGCTTTGTGGGCTGGGTGAAGCACCCTGTCTCGAGCTCAGCCTCCAGCAACGCAACTGTAGTGGATGTCGAAGGCATGCTTCTATCGAGGTGCTGACGACACGGCAGAAATTCGACCTTGTCGTAGAGGCCCGCCTGGGTTTTGAGCATAGGCCGGTCGTGGTGGGTCGGTCAGCATATCCCGGCAGGTAGGTCCTGGTGATGACAAGGGTGCGTGGAAGATCACGGATCCCAACAAGAGGCTGCAGGCAGTGCAGAAAGCTTCGTAGGAGAACGAACAGCTCGGTGCAGCACACATTGTGTTTTTCACAACGAGCTCCGGACCTTGCCAGGCCGGCAAGTCTTATGAAGGTCCCTGCAAGGTGCCCCGCTTGTGAGTGGAAGCTTCGGCGGACACAGAATGCATCGGCATCGGTTTGCCGAGGTCATTGCCGAAGAAGGAGACAGCATCATCTTCCGGGACACTCGGGACATGTCACGAAGGCTTCTTGTCAGGCTGACTGGAGGCCCTTGAGAAACCGGTATTGAAGCCTCATGACTTTAGGTATTGTCGATCTTTGAGAGGAAAAATTCTGCACCTGGCAAACAGGGGTTTAGCATGGTTTGTGTAGCAGGCTTCCGCACCCATTCCACTGTGTGAGACTATAACCTGTCCACTGCGTTTCGTTTCGGGTTTGTCGCGGAAGCAAATCCGATGCAAATTGTGACAAACGCTACGGCAATTTTCAGACATCCGAGTCCAAGGATACCAAAGACAGCGGCAAACACCAATGCACAACACGTCAACACAACCAATACTACGCAAGCCAAACAACCAATATATAGAGGCACCGCGACAGAAGCCAAAATCAAAGACAACAAGACGACAGCACAAAGACACAAGTCTTCTTCAAAACCAGATGGTCCGGAGTCCTGGAATGCAACGTTTCGGGACCACTTTCAGAAAAAACGTTTTTTTTTTTTCAGTTTTGCGTTTGGTAGTTTGGTTATGCCGATTTGGGCTGGCTGGTTTTCGTCGGTTTTGCTCACATTGTTTCTACCAGATGTGCGGTGAATTCCGAAAGAGGTCCGGCCAAGTGCCATCGTCTTGCTTTGTGCACTTCCGGACGTTCTGCAGTGTTCTCAACAAGCTAGCCTCCAATCTCAGGGCGCACAAACATCTACTACATTACTGGTCGAGCTGCCCTTGAACTTGATTGACGAGAAATTTAGATTTGCGTTTGGTAACGGTTCTGTTTGACTTAGGCATTATTCTGTGGGTTGCCTGACTCACAGAATAAGGCCATTTGCTGTTCTGGCTGTAGTACATAAGTATGTTCAGTTGGTACCACCTCGTGAGATCTCATTTGAAACCTGGAATGTGCTGGTTTAAGTAACTGCTCGAATTTGACAACAGACATATCTTGAATAGTTTCTGCAAGGTCAGAGCATGCATGAAAACTGCCCTTTAGACTGGTTCGATTACGACTGCCGCGAAAGCGAACGTAGTAGGCCTGAGAATTCTTGATCTTATGAAGTCTGTCCAGGCAAAAGAAAGGCGCCGAGATAAACACGGCATTTTCGCTTCCCCCCTCACGGATGTACCCTTTTGGTCTTTGTGAAGCCCCAGGACCAGCAAGGATGCATGTGTGAGATAAAGCGGAAGCGCCGGAAGCGGTGCGTTTTTGGAGTTGTCGCACGGAGAAACAGCAGGAAACAGGTGGGGAGGCCAGCTGCGCAAGACTTGCCTGTTCACTGCCTACTTGCATACCCATCTGACCACGTGCCTTCAGAGACAGTGAAGTGGGAAGCTAGTGGCTAGTACATTGAATTCCGTTTAGACTATTATCATTACCCATTCCAGCTACGTGCTCTCAATAAGCGAGGTGGTACTTAAAGATGGCACGTGCATGACAACTCACAAAAGAACATGTTTGCAGGACGAAGATACGGTCCTGAATGGCACTCTGAACGGTGCTGGGCTACGGCCCAAGTCAAGCATGCCTACAGTTTTGCACTTGTCTTTCGACGGTCTCTGTAGGCCGGGCACAATCAGTGGCCGTGCCATGCAGGGCGGGCTGAAATGGGGTGGTTTCTTCGAGGCCCGCCGACTGTCTGCGGGTTTAGGCCTCGCATAACGTTGGTGCCAGGTGGCACGCGAAGCTGACTGATCTCGTAGCTCTTCATCTGAGGGCTTAAAGCCTATCAGTCGGGAGACCAATGAATGTTGGTATAGTCAACAACTCAGGTGCCAGTCTGAGTATGCCAAGTCTGGATAGCTCTATGGTGAAGACTCTATCTCGTCATGTGGCAACTGGTCACGTAAGGGCTTTGCCGGAGACACGTAGATGGCTGTAGCGGATGAAGCCGCTCGCAACATTTCTCCAGCAGGCGATGTGCTGAACCGGAGCTCCTCATTTCGGACCATATTGCTGCTGGACAGAAAGCGAGTCTTGGAGCTCCGTTGTTTGCCATAAGCTGGTGCTGTTCTGCCATCAGTTTTCGATGCTTATGGTGGTGGCAGTGACAAATCGTGGAGTGAAAGTCGCATGGCAAGTTTCCTGCAGATTCGTTGTGTTTGCTTGTCTCACAGAGATGAGAACACTCGCCACTTTTCGTGCAGCCTATGCGTAGCACCCTGGGTTGTGGAGACCTGCAGAGACTTGCGAGGAGTGCAAAGGCTCGAGCTCGAAAAGCCTGTGTGCGTTCAGGCAGTAGCGAAGGTCGATGGAACATGACCATGAAACCTGTCTCTGTTGCACGGACTGGTTCCGTTTGATCCTCTTGGCTCTGAGATCCTGCCATGCCGAGGCAAGAGTGAAGATTACAACACCTAGACCTAACCAGGACCAGCATCCACGTGATCTCCAGTGCCCAAACCCATAGTGGCCGGGCCCGATGCGACCAACAGCAGGCCGAGCCTTTGAGCCCACATCTCAAAGACTGCTTCGTGTGTTCACTGGGCATTCCAAAAAGGCCAAACCGCAAAGCCTTTCGAAGAGAGAAGCCCATTGGCCCACATTGGCCCATGGCGGGGATCTGAGGGAGCCTGTCAGCGCTGCGAGCGCGCCGCTGCGCGCCTCTCGCTGCTCGTGGAACGCTCAGGACCTAGGAACTGCTTGCTGAACAGGATCTGCCAGCATGCTGTTCCCGTGGTTGTGGGTCTTTTGGTAGACACCGTGCTGCAACCAGCTTCACTGACAACGGCCAGCGTGAGATAAGTGTCGGGTTCGATTGCCGCAGTCTCCATGAAGGCCTTGGGGCGATTCAGGCTCCCACGGTCATGCCGTGGACTGAAAAGCTGTTTGCTGTCCTTGCACGTCGTGCAGGGGTGCCTCTGCCAGTTTTTGCTGCAATGCGCGAGAAAGCAGCTCACAGCACTAGGCAGTGCTGCGTGAACCGTGGTGACGAGCTTGCCGAAAGCAGCGTCACGGCCTCGGACCTCCCCCCCGGAGACCTTCAAGTGATCCATGCCCAGCCACGAAAAGATGTCGAAAAGTTCAGGTCGCAAGCTTGCCAGGGAGCTCTGTTGGATGGCTGTCACTGAACTGCTCAGGTGGTTCCATACCATCCCGGCTCGGGATTTTGGGACATTCTCTCGTGTCAGCGGACCTCCAGGTCGACCGCTTGCACCCGGGGGCTTCTGAAACCTGAGTGGGCCAGGTCTTCTAGTAGAGCAGCCCAGAAGGCATTATGGACCGATTAGAAACAGCCATTCCCCAAGCCCTCGGCAGCCCTTCTGTCTTTGTCGTTTTTTGCTTGCTTTCTGTGTTTGGTTTCAGCCAGTAAGTAGCAAAGCGAGTTCGACTCGGGCCGCCACCGACACCGATTCAGGCACCAGCTTTGCAAGCATCAGAGATTCCCGCGAGCACTCTTTGCAACCACCATCTCTTGCTAGTGCGCTGGGTTTCGCACCCACCATCTCCATCTCCTGTGCCTTCAGGGTCTGCCATGTCTGCTAGTAAGGTTTGGCTTTCATCATCTCCTTTTCGGTTGAGGGGTTCCCTTCTCCCCATCATCTTTTCTGGTTTGGGGTCCGCACTTCCCCACCTGGCTTAGCGATTGGATTAGGATCTCGGGTGTCCTTGTCGGATTTAGGGTCTCCCACCCCTGGCATTTCAGTTGTAGGTTCACCGGTTCTTTCCCTCATCGAACTGCTTATCTACTTCCGTTTGAGTAGGATTTTCGGGCGGAGGGTTCCCTGTTCTCCCCTCCCCCGCATCTCGTGCTCATTAAGGTTTGGGGTTAAGTATCTCAAGATCAGTTTTACTGGTCTATCCTGGAGCTCCCGATCTGTTTGAACTTCTGTTGGACGATGGTCCTGCGCGTATCTCTTTTTCGGGTTTAGGGTGTCCCGCCCCGCATGCGCGTTTGAGGTTCACTGCCTCACGATCTGCTGTACAGGTTTCTACCCCCCGCATCCCCTGGCCGGCAGCTTCCTTTATTTCTACTGGATTCGGGTCTTGTGCTCATGTCCTTTTCGGGTTTAGGGTTTCCGCATTGGACGATGGTCTTTGCCCTCATCTCCATTTCGGGTTTAGCGGCTTTTGGGCCTCGCGTTTGGGGTTTCGAGCCTGGGCTTCCCACCTCGCATCTCGATTTGATTGGGGTTGGGTTTACCGCGCGATCTGGTTTGCCAGATTCTACTCCTTTTCGGGGTTAGGGTTTCCCACCGCGCATCTCGCCTAAGTTTGGCGTTTATCACCTCGCGATCTGCTTCACGGATTTCTGGCTGTGCAAATCTCCATCTACGTCTATCGGAGGAGGGTCTCGCTCATCTCGTTTCTGGCTTTAGGGTTTCCCACCCCGCATCTCCTTAACGGTACCCGAAGATGCCATTTTGGATCTAGGCCGGTGTAGAGCCGGTTTTCTTGCGCCCCCTCCCCCCTTGGGACTCTCGCGCTTTGTTTGTCTGCTGGTGTTTTTCTTTCCCTCCGTCCATCCCGGGGTGGGTGGTTATGGAAGACCGCCTTGAAGCCGAGATTAACGATGCTCGCACGACTGCACGACGGTGCATCCACAAGCACGCAGATGGTGGTTTCACCGGCAGTCCTCGCTATCGCAGCATAGTTTAAGTAGTAATTGTACTCCTACGGCTACCAAAGGGGTCAGTGGCCCAGGGGCCCATGGGCCGCCGGCCAGGGGAGCCCAGCAGGGCCATAACCATCGAACCTGCTGCTGTCGCCCGTAAGTCCTGCAATTTGCTTAGACTAGATGTCCCTGGCATCCGTTAGACATTCTGCGATGCGACGTGCTGCGCCGTCAGGCCTCGTGTGCCAGCAGCGGCAGTCGAGGCCTCCCTTGCCTCTGTTTCCGTGTCACATCTCAAATCTCAAGGTGCTGTTGTCACTAGTGGCAGTTCCTTTCGAACAAGGCTGGCACTGTCCCTGCAGGAGCTTTCCAGGGATGGCCAGATTGCCCAGAGCCAAAGCGTCGTGCGCGCGGGGCCTGTCTGCCTGTCTCGAGACTTGCAGAGGGTGTTCCAATTTCCGTCCTTGCTTGGCAGTATGCAAGGCCGCCACATCGCAGGCTTACCAGGGAAGGAGCATCTGCTGGCGTCCGCTACCCAGTGCAAAATGTGCAAAGCTTCGCTTCGTTGCCGCAAGCGCGGAGCCTTTGTTACAAGCGATTCTCCAGCTGTAGAGTCCTGTGCGTGCCATGTGTCAGGTATTCGATCGTTCCTGATGCAGACGGGTATGGCACGAGCAGCGGATCAAGGTGGGGATCGCAGACTCGCTGTTGATTGAATTCAGGATGGATGGAGTATTGCAATATGATGTGGCTCGTCAAGGGTTCTGTTGCTCTGGTAGCGACAACACACAACTTACATAGCTCAGAGAGATAGGAAAGATAAGCAGCAGATAGCAGCGGCAACTGTTCAGGTTGCCGCGCGCGAACTTCCTGCCATGCAACACGTGCAGTGCTCGGGTGTCGTTGCGGAAAGCTGAATGGCGTCATATGGCATCGAAGAGCACTAATGCAGTTGTTGAAGAGAAATGAAGACAGGCATGCCCCCCAGATCTCTCCAGCTTCGAGCTCCGAGGACTGCAGCCATCCCGATCGAGAATGACAATTTTATTGGGAAAGTGCTGCTGCTCTACCGACCAACAGAGGGGCCAGACTCTCGGCAGGTCAGCTCGCTGTGCAGGAGGCAGACGCAATGACGAAAGCAAGCATATGGGATGTTGCTTCAAAGCGCCATGACACAAAGATGCTTCATGTCAGAGTCGCCTTCAAGGCTGGACCGCGGGCACCCTTACTACGACCACTTCCGGTCGCGTAAGCGTGGATGGGAGCTTCGCTTACAGGGCAAGTTCAAGAAGGCAAGTTTGTTTGTCGTCGGAGTTGGATCATGAAGATGCACCTTTTGCCAGGCTCCCAGGGGCAGGCTCTATGTTGGAGCGGTTCTTCGGGATTTCAACTATGCGGTGGCCTCACATCATGTCTCAGAATCGCGCCAGAGTTACAGCACCCAATGTAGCACTGCAGGACCAGCCAGTGGCTTCCACATCCATCCTTGCGATGAACACGGCCATCACGCTGGTGAAATATACTTACAGGAACGAGTTGCATGTCAGCTTCGTGTCCGGCAATTGCGTCTGCACGCAGTGGGATGCCAGGATATACTTCTCGTGGGGGGCTCGCTGCAAGGCCCGGTAAATGGAGTTGTGCTCCGAATCTCTTGAGCCTCCATTTGACTCTGGCTTCAAGGAGGCTCTCCAAACAGATGCAGAGCTCGGCCACGCTGTTTCGCCTGGAGCTTGCAGAAATAGGCAAGCAACTCGGAAGCTCTCCTCCAGCCGCATCGCTACATAAGGGATCTGACGGTATTCGACCAGATCATCATCACTCCGGCGAGCAGGTTCGAGAGTGGTTCCCATTGCTGCATGACCACGACTGAACGAGCACTGTGCGAGGCCAATTCCTCCCATCAGTTCGGACCTAGACGAGCCTAGCGATGTTTACGGGCTGGAGCCCCAAAAGCAATGCAAACAGCGTTGCAACGCGCGCAGACCCAAGTCCCCCCAATGCAGCCTGCAGCAGTTTGCCGGTTGCTCAGGCTGAGCCTCATGCGCCGGGACGTAGGTGTGACGCCATGTCGCTTCTTTGAACATGTTTTTGAGAGACTGCCACGAGGACTGGCCGAATACAGCCGCATGGTTCAAGAGGTCGAGAGCTCACTCAACACGCAGGACACCTGAAGTTCGGGCACTTCCATTGTTCTGGCCTTTCGCTTGCATGCATGCTGCATCCTGAGGACACCTACACCTTCAGGTTGTGGGGGCCGGCGCCATTTCTCGACGTGCCGCTGGTCAAGACTCATAGCTTGCAACCTCTTTTCAGCCTGGCGGCCTAGCATTCTCTGCCTATATTTCGTTGGAGATCTCGCTGAGGCTGAATTGGCAATTGAAAATGGGAGCCAGAGTCAGCCTCGATCATTTCATGCAGGACCTGAGCATTTTGTGTGCATCAGACATATGACATGATTTGCTGCCGGATAAGCAGGATTTTCCCATCCACGTTTGCATGTACGACCTACCTGATGGTCATGATCAGACAAGTGATGACCCGTACCTTGGCTACAGCTTAAGAGTTTAGGCGCAGTTTCCTCCTTTTGTTCGTGCTTCTTGCTGCTCCTGTGCGGTTTCAGGCGGCACTTGGAGTCGAAGAAGCGCTACTACTTTGATTTCATGGGTTGGAGCAATGTCGTCCCAGACTTGGGCCTTTTGGACGAGCCTGCTCTGGGCAGCATCCATTTGGCCAATGGTCAAATGTCCGAGGTCTCGATTGCGCCGGCAATCTTTCAACGTTATGCCGTCGACTCAGCGACTCTGTGCCCTAGGGTTTAGGAGAGCCTTGCGGCTTTGGGTTGCTTTTCTGCCTCTGATTCTGCTGCGAGGTTTTTCAGAACGCCCCGGACGGGTCTGGAGCCCGAAAGAGTGGGAGCCCGAGAGCAGTCGAAATCCACGTTTCTGTCAGGTTCGTGATGCAGCTGAGCAGGCGAGGGCTTTTGGGGCTTGTCCTTCCTCTCAGATTCTCAGCCTCTGTCGTGGAGGCAGTTCAGCAACAACAGCTTCCACTCTTTGAACTCTGGGAGCTTTATGTCAGCCAGCGTCTTGTTGGAGGGGTTTCCAGAATGGAAACCGGATCCGGCTGCAAGTAGATTGGCTCAGGTAGAGTCCACTGCTTCGCGAAGACCTTTCTGGCGGAGATGGTTAGATCGCTTGAGGCCACGGCTGGCTGCGATGTATCTTGCATGCAGCTGCTTTCAATGCTGAGTGACGGTTACTTGTACCCGAGCAAGCACGTGGCATGTGTTTTGGTAGCGCCGTGGTACTGGTCAGCAATGGAATGGTGAGTAAGTCACATGTTCACGGACTCTGATGAGACGTTGTTGTACTTACAGTAGTTTGTCTCCAGCCGACGAGATGCATGCTGAGTTCTGCAGTACTGCATCTGCCCCTCTCTGCAAAGGTGGATACCAAAATCCACATGCAACTTTAACTCGCTGCCGCAGCCACTTCCGGCATAGGTGCGCCGTTTGCGTGTGCTGTCACTGTCACAGTCACTATCACTGTCACTATCTGTCACTGTCACTCTCACTGTCACTGTCCCTGTTTGATGTTGTGCCAATCATGCTTCAGATGTGCTTTGTGCCGAAGAGACTGCAGGGTTGCGAAGGCCGCCGAGGCGGAGTGGGCTGAACATCTTTGCACGATCTATTGTGTCTCTGGAAGGGTAGGGCTGGAAAACTCCATGCGGTTACAAATCTGTGCAGGCCTGAGGCATGACGAAGGGCAGCTTGTCAGCCTCGCAGAGTTTCACCGCAGCTATGCAAAAATGGAGCCGCCTGGACAGTGACAGTACAGATCCGACTCCTGTGACTGCATGCCCACTTGTAGGTCGTTGCAGGCTCTTAAAATTTTGCAGATCCTGTGGAGCCTGGCGAGGAGTAGCTGAAGCTCTGGGACCATAGCCATCAACCATGAGAAGCATAGCTTGAGATCTTTCATTGCTGTGCAAGAGAGTCTGATAGGCTGTCGTTCGTCCTGCGCTTTCACATTTTGCTGTCGGTTTGCGATGGCAATGGACAATGCAGATGAAGCGTTTGCCGCCGCGCAAGAAGCTCTAAAAGCGTTGTCATTTCTAGACAACGCAAGCAAACTGAAGCTCTATGCACATTACAAGCAAGCCACCGTGGGACCTGCGCAGGGTTCCAGGCCTAGCATGTTCAACCAGGT